ACGATCGCACCTTCAACATACAAAAGTTCTGATATCAACATTTGTGACGAAAAATTATTACACTCGTCATTAAATAGACTTTCTAATATTTTCTCATTCGGCCCGCCCTAGCAGACTATTCCAGCCTTTTTCCCTTCACAGGCATTTTCTATTGCAGCGTGCCGAATGAAAAAATATTAGAAAGTCTATTTAATGACGAGTGTAATAATTTTTCGTCACAAATGTTGATATCAGAACTTTTGTATGTTGAAGGTGCGATCGTCACTAGTTTTTTACCTCGTTAAGAGGTGTTTTTATTTGATATCAGAAGTTTTTGTTTGTTTACATTTGCTCTCATAGGAGCTAATATATACATTTAAATTTAAATTGGTCAATCATAATTTGTAAGCCATTGTATTTAAACAAATTAAGTTAAAAAGTATTTCAAAATACCTTTTAAACGAGGTATGGCACATGTCTGTACCTTTAGTAGTGTAGAACTTACAAACTAACGAAATTTAGCCATTTTTAGCTTTTTTCCCGCTAAAGTAGCGGCTTTTTCCAAAAGTCGTAGAACAAAAGATTCCTATATGGAACTCTTAAGTGCAAATTTACTGATTCCATGACCCTAAAATACAGTTCGGATACCCTCACACAAAATTCAATACTCAAGAAGCTTTAGTTGTTCGAGCTGCCAAAAGTGGCTATTTTCGTATAAAAATAACTTTTAAACGTGACTTTTTACAGTAATGTGTTATATACCAAAATTTAAGGAATCTCAAGGGCTATACAGTTTAAAGGTTTCAAGGAAATCGTTAGAGCCGTTTTTGAGAAAAATAAAAAAAGCTAAAAAAAAGTTTCAAAAAATTGTCTTTTGTTCATATCTTTTTAATTATTACATTTACACAAATTGCATATAGAAGGAGTTTATAGCATTTAAAAATACCTTTCAAACAAGATGCAGCACAAGTCTGTAGCTTTAGTAGTATAGAAGTTACGGTTTTCCGAATTTTAGCTATTTATAGCTGTTTTCCCGCTAAACTAGCGAGTTTTTCCAAAAGTGGTAGAACAAAAGTTTTTTATATCGATGTGATAAACGTCATATCAAATTTTCAGAACTTAAAAAACATATTTTGGACAAGTGGACAAGTGGACAAGTGGACAAGTGGACAAGTGGACAAGTGGACAAGTGGACAAACTGACAAACAGAATTAAATTTTCATTTTGGGAAGAAGAAGAAAATCTTATTTTGGCTATAACTTTTGAACGGAGCGTCGGATTTTGACAAATGACCCCTCATTCGACGGGTATTTTCAAAAGGAATACAACTAAAACATTGCGAGGGGGCATTTATCCCCACCGGCCCCAACAGCTCCAAATTTCGAAATTTTCACTTTTTCACTTTCACCGCTCTCTCTCCCAAGCCAATTGATTTTCTTAAAGTCTTGGTATGCAATCCTTTAAGTTTTTGCAATACCTTTCGATTGGTGTATTACTCATTACGATCGGACTATCACAGCAGATTTTCAATTTTGCGGCTATATAATAGTAGTCGCCTTCGCACACTCTCCTGGTGCGCTTCGTCACTACATGGACTGCCGTCCATAGTGATAAACGAAAGCGAGTCATCAACAAAGGAGTTCATTTATCGTTCGGTGTTTGCAATACAAATGAATGGCATACAGATTTCTGCTATTTAAGTGGCCAGCCATAAACATACACAGATCTATAACATTCTATAAATGAGTGATTGATATGCCATGACAATGTCCTGCCGCAGGATTCAGAGAATTTCGTTGGCCACGAAAGCAGCAGCAGTAGCAGCGTCGAAAAGCAAACACGGCCAGCAGCAATTTTTATATGGCCGAAAAATCCATTTTGACCCCTTTTGACACAGCCAGAAGTCCTGTTCCCAAATAAAAGCGTCCATTACTCAAACGCTAGCACACACACACACACACGCACGCTGGGGAGACAAACAAAGCAGCAAGGACTACGTGCCGTTGCCAGGATGAGTCCCAAACTCCCGCTCTTCTAAATCTGGATCTGTGCTCCTAGCTTAAGATACTTAATAAAATTAAAGTAATTCTTAAGTTCAGCATTATCTAAAAGGAGGTTAAAAATCTTAGGATAAAATCTGGGTGGTTTTTATTTCGTTGTATTGAAATAAAAGAACCTTTTAAACATTTGTTAAAACACATGAATCTTTATTAAGAAGAAGAAATATATTTACTAGAATTATAATTACTTTAAAATTTAAAAATTTTAACTTTAAAATTAATTTTGCAATACATTTTAGAATAGTTCCAGCGTAATGGTAGTTAAGATTTTTTTTAGAGTTGGGACTTTCAAGTTTTTTGTACGAAATATTTTTAAATAGTTCCAAATTATGGCATTGAGAGGGATAATTAAACTTTAAGTATGAAATATAGTCAAAAAAGATTTTACATTTATTTTCTTCAACAAAATAATTAAAATTAAATATAAATTGAAAAAGTTTACCCACTTACTGTGTTACTTCGAAAAATGTCTGAGCATAAATCTGAAAATATAGCCAAAGGCACATCCCTGCTGATCCCATGCTGATATCCCCACAGCGTTTCTGGCGTTGTCAACTGTAAACATACTTGAGCTTCCTGTTTTGCTATTTGTGCCTCGCATCGCACACAGGACACTTAGGGCAGACAGGCGGACATGAGGACACCCGGACGCAGGGACAACCCACACGATGTTTGCTCTCCTGGTTGGTCAATCCGACCCACCGCCCCCACCATCCCCCCTTCTGCACGGGCTGCTGGACAAAAAGTACTCGGCAAACTCATCAGCACCACAAAAATATCCTTAATAATTTTCTTAAACCAACAAGCACAAAGCCAGCACGGAGCATGAAGGATGCTTTTACCCCGAGTCTGTGGGTGACCCGCCCCCTTCCGTCAGTGAACTGTCATCGTTTGTCATGTGTCCTGGCCCGAGTTTCGCCTGTGGAAAGTATTTAGTTCGTTGGTCGCATCAATCCAAACACAAAATGGCCAACACCCGGGCCAGAGACGTATCGGATGTGGCCGAGGTTTCCTTTCCCAGGACCAAGGACTCTGGTCCCCGGACCCCGGACAGGAAATAATCGTCAGTGCCGTAAAATAAACAGCAGCCAAAAGCAGCAGCAGCAGCGACGATGGCGACAAAATAAAAATAAAATGCGACAACACTGGGCGAAAATGGTTGTCGAGGGGGTAAACCACTGGCAGGACACCCAGACAGGACTTTTTCGGGTGTGAAAAGGCATTTGGTGCAAAGCTCGAAATAAAAATAAGAATCCCCAGCAGGAAAAAAAAATTAACATCCTTGTTAGTTGTGAAAACACGTTCGCTAAATACGCGCGACAGTTGCAGGCACATCATCCCCTCATCTCCACCCCCTTTTAATCATCAAGGACCTCCCTTGAGTGTGTGTGTGTGTGTGAGTGTTAATGTGTGTGCGGGACAGGCGCAAATATTTTAACAAGTGTCAAATGCACACGCTACTTAACTCAAGCTCTGTCTCTCTTGTTTAATAAACAAAATAGTTGCAATTGCCAAGAAAAAATTACAACCCCTTTGCAGGGCTGGAAAATTTCTTTTTTTTACAAGAAACAAAAATTGTTCCCTCTCCTTTTTAGATTGGAAAATGTCCTTTTCACGGGCGCTTGTAATTTGGGAATTTGTGTGCATTGATTTCGGCACTTAAGGCGAATAATCGGCAGCATAAAGCAGTAGCAGCAGCGGATTTGGGCACACTGGAAATTATTTTTGGCCTAATTAAAAATTTTTAATTTCTAATTCGATTTACTATTTAATCAAAGCTATTACCCATTAAATTTTGTTGATATTATTTTTTATTTATTCTTTTAACAAATTCGTTTACTTTTTTAATTCAAATGTAGTAACAGATGGAATTACTTTTCATACCAAAAATTTTTATAGTGTATCGTCAATGAGCAGCACAGTTCGTTGAACAATAATTTACAGGACAGGACGAGGGAGGTACACGGAAGCAGGAGGTAACAGAGGTCCTGCAGGACCATGGGCATGCATTTCGGCATTTCGGGCTCGCATAAGCTGGATTAAAATCAAAACAGATTTGCGCTGACAATGACAACAGGCAACAGCATCAGCAGCCAGAGCAAGGACATGTTAATGTTCACTCGGAGGTTAAACAGGACACACTAGTCTGGTCCCCTCGATATGTGAATGGAAACACCTTGCCACGAGAGCAAATGAAATGTCATTTGCCCGTTGATTACTCGGGATGAAGAGGGGATTCTGCGGACGAGGCGGGGATAACTTGTTGTTTGCGAGTGGGGAGTATGAATTTAAATCGCTTTCAAATGACACATGGTCAGGGGTTCTATTGTCGGGCAACCGTGATTTTACCCCGTGCCTTTGAACGCTCCCGGCGATTAACAAGTGTGGAATGTCCTGGACCAAAAGGTAGCTAGTTGAAAGGGTAGAAAGTGCCGAGGGGATAGACCAACAGAACTAGCAACATATGGACACGGGAAACCACGGGGCAAACAACAAGAAAATGGACGAATGATTGAGGTTGAATAGGATGTTATCGCTGTAAGGCATTACAATTGTTTGGGAGAGTCAAAGATCCTTCAGTTAATTCTCGCTTTGAATGGAGATTTATTTAATAAGGAATATTTTAATCACATTAGTTACACCCAAAAAAATTGATATGCAACGATGATCGATTTGATGCCACATAACATGCCACATAACATCAAATCGATCATCGTTGCATATCAATTTTGACTTATTTCGAATTGAGATAATTAGTTGTTTTCCCTCCCACTCACGTAAATTAGAGAGAATCTCCGAGAGAGAAAGAGAATTCGGTATGCCATAAGAAATTTACCATGCACATATCTATTTGATCCCGATCTTTTTTTTTGTGTATATGGTTTATACCAGTTAATTGGATAAGATAAATAGTTAACTGGTGATATATTTCTGATTAATTTTGTTGTTCTTTCTTTTTAGCTTGGCTGTGATTACGGGCCTGATAGAGATTCTTTCCCGACGCATTCAGAAGGTTCGGGAGTCCATCGAAGGCAACAAAAGTGTGATGCTGGGTCTGTTGACCACCTTGGGCTTCCTGTCCCGATTCCTTGATGTTTGCCAGCCAGGTGAGTCATCATATTAGCCAGCTCCTGTTTCGCAGCAGAAGTCACACCTGGTTGAGAGTAAATACACCAGAAGATCTTTGATAATTCGTTTCTTTATCCTCTTTGGAAAGGTCCTGCCGATCCGACACGTTTGCTGAGCGCTGCCAAGTCCACGGAGCTCTTTGGAACCGTATCGATGCTCTACGGCAGCGTTATGCCAGTGGGTGAGTTTTAACTGAACTAAAACAGTAGCTGAAAATTGTTGACGAGAAGTAGTGGTAGGGGAGGTGCTAATTAGATTTCAATGCTCTTCACAAACAACCCACGCAACGTGATATCCTCGCAAAGGCGGAAATTAGTTTTGATTTTTCCGTAAACCTCTAATGTTTTATGAGGGAATATCCGCTATCGCTGCTCATCCGCATTTCATTCTTTTTTCTGACTCTTTTTTTTGTGTTTTTATGTTCTGTTTTTGCAGGTGAATGCATTCCACCGCGCACGACCGCCTTGGCAGCATCGACTTTTCATCTTTACGTGTCCCTGGCCTCGCTGGATGTGAACACTTTCCAGGTGAGTTTGCCTTTCCACGGGAGAGGGATTCTTGGGAGTTTCGAAGGCAAACGACAAACGTCGAACGTTGTGCGTCGCCGTTTAAACAAATCAAAAAGTCAGTCAGCCCTTAAACTCAATACGAACGCACAGTGCACTATGGGAAAAAAGTCAATTTTGTTGGCATAAAATCAACTTATTTTACAAATTATTTTTAAAAATAAAATATATTTTGTGAATTTACATACCCTAATTACCCAAGAACAGTTATCTAAGATTTTTTACTAGCAACACTATAAGGTTGATAAACGAACAAAGTCAGCTGTTTGATTGACTTTGTTGTGTGCGTAAATTAGTGAAAAATCTTTGCAAACTTTCAGTGCTTATTTTGTGGAGCAACAAAATGGTTTATTATTTCTGATCATGTCAAATCGTAGCAAAGGTATTTATAAATGTATCTTAGATTACATGTTTTGATTATTGTGGCTTGTTGTCCAACTGTGAACTGTTTTAAATGTGTATCTTTTTAGCTTAAAACTAACAAGTTTGTTTGTGTTCCGTGGTGTACAACTTATAAATGGCACAAAGTTGCAAAAAGGTAAAAACGCAAAGTTATTACCAAATGTATCCTTAATATCGCAAAACTAATCATTTTTGCAACTTTTTGCACGTTTCTTAAAAAAATGACTTAAATCCAGCAACTTATAAACATAAAAAAAATATTTTTTTAAATAAAAAAACAATCTAACTGGCTTTCATTAATCTTAAAAATTGAATTCATGGAAAGGGACAAGTCAAGTGAAAATCCTGGCTGCAAAGGACTCAAATATAAAGAAGCTGGACCCCCGTTAAAGCTAAAATTGGCATCTGCTCTAAGATAATATTTCACTTTTCTTGTACATGACACCAATTTTTTTTTTTTGACAAATTTTAAAAATTAACGTAAACCGAAATTATTTTACCGTCTTACCAATACAAATACAAATTTTTTAAAATCCCTGCCAATTAATTTGAATATGCGGCGTGGGCGGTGGATAAAAACAATGGTCCGATTCAAAAAGCAACAAAAACCGAAATTACAGCTTTATCTTAATAGTATATATACAAAATTTCTAAGTTGTATCTCTAAAACTAGAGTTTATGCCAAAAAAATAGACTTTTTTCCCATAGTGCAGTGGCTAGAGTTTTTGGAAAAACTGCAAAGATTAAGTTATCTGAAGTCAATCATTTCTAAGATTACTGGTTACCATGCTGTAATCCATGAAATAAAAATTTTAAATAATATATTTTTTCAATAATTTGTTATGACTTAAATATTACTTTATTATTTCGATGAATGCCTTAAAGTGCTTTTCCCTTTGAATCAATCGGCAATGGTATAAAAACCCCTAGGCTATAATTTTGTTTAAATTGTCCTCCCATTAATTTTTTGATTATTCCTGTGAAAGCTTATAGTTGTCCGGATCGTTCCGACTTATGTACTAGCTGCAAAAGAAATAAGACTTTTTTGAAAGTGTAAACCCGAAAAACTGAAAAAACATGGTTTGACGCGACTAGATAGGATATTCAGGAATATATATAGTTTATAGGATCGGCAACGTATCCTTTACGGCGTTTGAAAACTTTTCAACGAAATCATTATATTTTATGCAAGGGTATATATAAAATCGATTATAATATACGATTTGGTAAACAACTTATAATCTTTTATACATTAAGTTTATTCGAATCTGTCTGGTAGATAATTAAAAGTTCTTTTAGTTCTCGTAGTTCTTTTAAATCTAACATTTCCTAACCAGTTTCCATCCACTGTGTCTTGATTTTTTCTGCTCAAGCAGCGAGGACCAGAGAAAATTTCATTAGAATTTCTCCTCTTCTGTTTTATTTTTTCCCGTTGATGGTGCTCTTGTTTTTGCTGGTGGTATATGTGTACGCGCTTGGCTTTTCTTTGCTTTGCTCTTCTAAACTTTGTCGAACGTGAAATCGCCTGGCGAAAATTGAGAAAATCGGCAACAACAACAACAACAACAATAGCGGGTGAAAAAACACGAGGAAAAGTTAGTGCAGACGTTTAAAACTTTGCAATCGCTGCGGCTTGCAATCTGCGAGTGAATTTCGACAGAGTGATTTGCATATTGCCAAATGTCATGACAGCCACGAGAATTGTGTATTTTGTGGGGTGGGATTTTCCGGAGGAGTGGGCTTCGGTTGGTTTGGGGAAAATGCATAGAGTCAGAGTCAGGGCAGAGTGACATTTGCTTAACAGACAACACAGCGCCAAATGACAAACACAACATGAGGCAAACGCCATTGAACCGCGATGACATTTCGCTCTGTACTCGTGTACCTGCGAGAAATTCAGAGGTGAAAATCAGCAAAATGGCACGATGGTGGGGGTGGTGATGGTGATGGGGTCAGGATAAAATAGAGGATGGGTGGCATACGCAAATATTTTGACACTTTACTTGGGGCAAATGTCGGCAGTCGTCTTGGCGTGGCCTAAAATATTTATGCCAACCGTAACGAAACGAACCGACTGGAGATGCGATGGGTAAAGTTCGGTTGGCAGCCAAAAACCGCGCCAATGAAACGGAATATAGGAGTACTGCAATTCGTGAAACTAACTGGGACTCAGCCTGGCAGATCTGTACCTCTGGATCTCTTTGAATGCACTAGAAAAATATTGAATGCTGATGGGATAAGTTTGTGTAATTGCTTATTATATGCAACTACACACAAAAAAACAAGGCGGAATCAAATCGATATGCGCATGGTAAATTTTTGGTATTTATACATACGCATATCGTTTTTATCATTCGAGCACATCAAGTCAAAATTTACACCAAATAACATCAAGTCGGTCAACGTTTCACATCAAGTTTTTTTTGGGTGTAGATTAATAAAATAAAGATAATCTTAAACTAAATAATGTTGTATATTCTTCCAATTTAAACAGGACTCCCATAAATTTATGAGCTAAATATTTCAGATATATTTAAAAATACTTTTATACATTGTACCTTTGACTTTTTAAACCGTTAACAAATGGCTAATTTGGGACTCCTTTTTAGTAGAGTGCCGCATCTGTATTTTAATTTCCTGTGTATCTCTATCCGGTTATCTGAGTTTTCGAGTGTGCGTCTGTTGCACGTGTCAATATTTAACAGATGCAGGCTGTGGCAGGCAAGTCTACGCACTTGACAAACTAATTTGCTAGACAAACTTTGCCGCTGCCGAAAGCTCCAACCCCGAATTGCACTGGGATTAGAGCTATTTGTTTTAAATTACCACAAAAATAGATAAGGGTTTCGGTTGCTCATCATCAACTTTTTGGGCGAGGGCGAGGGGCGGTTGCTCCGTTTTTGGCAAATAATTTGATTCGGTTTTAATCAGCAAACTCAATTTTCGAGAGTCGCTTCAGAGGCAGCGCTTGTTTTTGCGTAAATATTGACTTTGTAAAATGAAATTTTCAAGTTTAACCCAAGCCAATCCGAGGCCCACGCAATTTCAATCGCTCCGCCGCTTTATTTCTTTTTTTCGTTTCCGGCTGGAAAATCCTTGCCGCTCGCTCATAAACTGCCAGGGTCGGAAAAGTGAGGAGGCGTTGTTCTAGCCAGCCAGGCATGTCAATTGTTTGGCTAAATATTTGCTTAGTGCTCGTACTCGTCCTCGTCCTCGAACAAGTTGCCTGTTTCAGTTGTTGAATCGAGTTTCGGGTTTTGGCCTGCCAGGGCAAACAAATTAGAAGCGCTCTCTGGTTCGTTCAGCGAGTCCCTTATGCAAATAACACGCAAATATATAGCCAGGAATATAAACATTCGGGCCGCAGGACGTGCCGGCCCTTCATTTCCTGCCCTAAACAAGTGGCACTCTTTTGATATTTGCTTTGACTTAATTAAAACATTTGCTCAGTGATTTCGGTTTCGGTTATTTTTCCATTGTTGTGTGTTGCCAATTAAATATATTTTTTTTTGTATTTTCAGGAGGCATTGACTGTGGAGGGTCCTTTGTCGCTGAAGCTGTTGGATGTGATGAGCCTCATCCTGAACTTTAGTGTGGCGAATGCCCAGTGGGTGAAGAACAGCGAGAGCACCCCAATGCTGATTGACCTTATCGCTTCGCTGGCCTTTTTCTGTGTCAACAATCGGAGGCATCAGGACCTGCTGATATCGGAACCGTTTGCCGTGATCTTCAAGAACCTGGCCAAGATGCCGACCCAGTTTAATCCTGTGATTTATCCCTTTTTGGTCACTGTTTCCTTTGGAAATGTGCCTGCTAGGGAGCTACTCTGCAAGGACTTCGATTTGGCGGTAAGTGAAAAATAAATTAAATAGTAAAAATGTTTTTATTTCGGATTTGGGCCAAAGAACAAGCCCTTTTTCATGATTTTTTGTTGTCGTTTTGCTTTTGCTTTGGGAGTATAATTGAGACAACTTTAACTTAATAAAAAAGTTATAAGTGATTTTGATATTTTATTTTTGATAACCCTATGTAAACACTGCTTGAAATAAGGTCTATTATTATTTTAATTTATAAAATTTCTTTTAAATGTCCTTTCAGTTCATAGATGAGTATAGCAAATCAGAGGTCGCCCAAAGAAACAGCGTCATTAAACTGATAAATAGTCGCACCAAAGACAAAATCAGCCCCGGTAATAATAGTAATCCGCAGGCACAGGCTCTGTAGCTGTCTTACAGATGGATCCTTAAACTCGAAGTCTCAACTCTCAAAGTGATATTATTTTCAAAGAAAATTAAAATAACTAAAGCAAAGAGCAAAAATACAGAACTTGAAACATTCGCAAGGAGATGAACAACTGGATAATTGGAAATCGAAAGCTGAAGTCACAAACAAAATATTTTTAATATAATTTATATAATCTTAAACGTTAATTTAAACTAGTTTACTAAACAATCACTTCATCTCACTCACTCTCACACATTCGCTAAAACACATTCACAACAAGTCGAACTCGCAGAGATTATATATCCATATATCTATAGCATACATATATTCATTGTAGCTTATGTTTAATGCAAAGTATTAACTTTAATTTAACGCTTGTATCGAACTCACTTACAAACACGGCAAATTCTCAGTTATCGAACTAATTAACGCTTTTTGCGCAGAATAACACACTTACAAACACGAATGGGAAAAAAGGCCTAACTAAACTACCTAATGTATTTTTATAGACATCAACGTTTTGTGCAAAAACAGTATAATAAAATAAAACTGAAGTAAAGAATTAAAAAATTAAATAATAAATGTTTTTCCGTAAATATTCAGGTCTGGGCTGGGAGAGCAGTAAAGGAGATATTTCCGACCCCACAAAATATGTAAATTCTTGATCAGCATCAACATTATTTTAAACAAATCTATATGTTTCTTTTCGTCAAAAACTTTAAAAAATTAGATAATCCGCAATTTGTTATTTCATAATTCAGATAAAGTTCTTTATGTTCTAACATGTAATTTTTTTACATTTTCCTCAGCCAGGCAGATCAGCGTTTTCCTCTTACGTTTGAAGTGCTGCAGACAATGAAACCGAGACCTGGCAATTCCTTTCTCTCCCCCGAAAAAACAACAAATTAAAAACGACAAAAATAATGTGCCTTAATCATTTGTGGGCGTGGTCCAGAGGGGGCGTTTGGGGTTTTGTAAGCGAAACAAAGGCAAAACTCATCAGTGTCGGCAACGCTGAGACATCGCGCAATGTCCCTTTGTCCTGCTGACTGGAGCGGGGGCGTGGCAAGGATCCGGGGGGCTGGAGGATGTGTTGGGCTGGCCATTGTCTCGATTGTCCTTGTTGTTGCACCTAGCCCGGAATTATGTATGTCACACGGTGGGAGCAAACATAGCAGAGAAAAGCAGCGGCAACCGACGACATCTAATTTCTTTGGACATTGTACGTGTGGGTTTTTTAATGCTGCCATATGCACAACCCCTGGCCAGACCCTCGCTTTTTTTATTTTGCCAAATTGAAAGAACTCGAACAACGACAACAAGCATAATAATAATAAAAGGCCTCAAGACTCTTTCTCTCTGGCGACAGATTGAAGTCACTCAACTTGAAATAAAATGCGTCAGCGCTGAACAGTTGCACAATCAAATGGGGACAATATGCAGCGCATATCCTGGAATATCCTTGGTTTTGAGTGAGAAGTTTATTGGACCTTTTGAAATTAACGATTGTTGAACTGTATAGCAGCTCAAACTGTATATTTCCACTTAAATTAAATCTGCAATCCTTGCCTTAAAATAGTAATTAAAAGTCTGAGCTTTGCTATTTTTTTTAAAGTCGAAAAAAATTTACAAGATTCGTCTTTATAAAGTGGTTAGCAAATTTAAGAACTTACTACTAATATAATTTTAAAAAAATTTACTCAATTGTAGGGTAATCTTTGTTCTTATAAATACAACCCCATGTTCATCAAGTCTCCTGTTTTGGCTGCTTTATTTTCCTCTTTTTTTTGTCAAACATCATTTTTAATTTGAAGCCCGGAAAAGCAATGAACAAATTGGTGTTAGCAGAAGCCAAGTGCTTGGGCACAAAGAATAGAACATATTCGTGTAAGTGTGGGGCAGTTACAGTAGCAGAAGGGCTGAATATGGAGTGAGTGTGGGTGGACTTGCCGTAAATGAAAGTGCGTCAATCAACCCTTCCAGCTATCCATCCATCCATCCACTATCCATAAAAAGTCATAATTGCTATGTAGATGCCACGACTCCCACTGTCCAACTGTCCACTCCACTAATTGCTGCAAGTGACTAAGCAGACGACATCGCTGAGCGGCAATGTCAATATATCACAAAATACCAATTTCACCTTCTCAATCAAAATTATGACCGACTGACTGTAGTATCGAAACGGTATAGAAGTCACCCCCAAGGGAGCTGCGTTTTGTGTAGATTAGTTTAGCATAGTGAGGGGCAATTAAAATGAAAAAGTGTGCGCTGATGTTGCGTGCAGTGGCCTCATAAGGCCGCTAACTTTAAGGGAGGGTTTTCGCTCTGGTCAGCTTTAAGCAGCCAAAAAGTTAATTGCAACTTAAAGAGGCGCAGCAAGCCAACTGATTTACAGGCGCGGCCAGGACAAACAAATTTCCGACGACCACACAAAATATGTTGACCAAAGGAACACAGAAGAAGACGAACGGAAAACAAGAATATTGGAAAAAGTTGTAAACCGTAAATTGTAATACCCTAAATAGGCGTCTTATTTTGTCCACAGAATTTTGCAATTAAGTAATAATTTTTCTAACATTTTTTGTTTTGTTTTATGGAAAAATACAGGTGTAGAAATTTGCTTATTCTGTATTGAAACCTTTGATCTAAAAATGATTGTACACTCAAACGAAAAGGGTATAAAAAGGAAATCACAAAAAAGGGAAAGTTGACCCATCCTGACTGTCCATTTTTTTTTTATTGCGTCTGATTTGTTTTAGTATTTTTATTTTTGTTGCGCCTGAACTTCCGGTCAGGATACGCTCCTAATTTGTTTACTATGGTTAGCCGACGGCCGCTGCTTTTTTTTCGCTCCTTGTTCAATTTGTTTCCTTTGCACAGTAAAAAAATTAAGTTGTTGTACCTGTCGTTTTTAAAAAACACCTTATTCCGGAGGCAACACATTTTAGCATATATTTTAATGCAGAATACATATTTTGTTTCATACTTTTTAAATACCAAATTCCCTTTCACTTTTCATCCGAGAGGGGAGTGATTAACTCGCAAGTCCCCCTGTGGATCTATGTTTAAAATATCTTTGTAACAAATAATAACGAAACGATCTTCAGTAAAATATATTCACACAAATTTGTGTCCTGTGCAGGCTGGGTTGGAAACTTGGTCATGTAGATTCTAGAATCCTGACGTGCCCCGTGCACATTATGCGCGATGCATGGTGTCCGATAAGACTTCAGGATCCGGGAGCGCAGGACTCAAAGAACCGAGCGGGGGGTTGACTTTCCGACTTTTTATTCCCGGACTAAGCGGACAAATGATGTGAGCAACAATGGTATTGCGTGATGACCTTATGATGACACCCAGCTGATTATAAAGAAATATCCTGGACTTGGTTGCGTGCTCGCCTCAAATTCAGCGGAAATGTTTGCAGCAACGGTAAATTATGTAACACACGCAGGATATTCGGAGGAGGGGCAACGAATAAGGGGCAGGAACAGAACAGCCTTTCCCATTCAAAATCAGCGAAGCGCAGTGGCCTAAGCTCCTGTTGCCAAGTCCCGTCCACGGACAATGTCCTTAAGCGGCTTTGCCGATGCTCATTTGCACGTATAACTCAACCAGACCCGACTGGAATAAACTCAACTCAACTGAATTGTGCCCTCAAAGGCAGCGAAGCGTCAAGGCTTAGGAATACACAGGAAATATTTCATTGAATTTACATTATAATGTGTTGAACTGACCACTCGTTTAAAAAAGAAAGTAACTTTAATTTAAAAAAAATGCATATGATCAGCAATAATAAATTATATTTATTAACATTAAGCCAATTTAATTAATAACTGGATTTTTTCAGTGTTTAACCGTGACAATCCACACACATGGAAAAGAAACTGTGTTTGTGCAACTATTTGTCCCCGAATCATTTTCTCGGAGCTTTGCTTTCAGCTGCAAATTTATGACCACATAAATAACATAACAGAAAAACCAGTGGCAGTCTGAGCCAGAAAGAGATAGAGCCTGTGCGATAGGGATGGCAGCTGAGGAATACCCACCAAAAAAACCCCAAGCAACTAAAAACCAGATAAAAACGAAGATAAAAATACCTCAAAAAGGTATAGTGGTAACGGTAATTATGTGGCAATACCCAATATAGGTTATTAGTGTTTTTGTGATTTATAGAACATGCCCTACAAGATATAGTAATAACGGTGTCCTGGTATAAAAATATAACGGAAATATATAATTATTATAGTTGTAGGTATCTATTATTTTGGAAATAAAATCTTCTATATAGCTCTAGTTTCATTTATTAGGTTCACGAATTTGATATTTCTTTTGTATTAAGACTAATACCTAATATGACTTTTTTCCGATGCGTCCATCATAACCCTCGATAGACATAAGTCGCTGGCCTCTAGGGTATGGTAAAAAACCTGCTGCTAGCATTCGTTCATTTCATATGCATATTTATAGCTTAAATAAATAACAAATAATATGGCTATAAATTTTGCCACTCTCTTTTGTTTTAATAACCAGGCAGAGACAGGGCCGAGAACCGAAAGGAAGCTCAGTCCCCAGACTACAACCATCTAGGTATACCAATACATATATATCTATATGTAACGGGCGCACAGTTCATATTGATAAATATTAAATATGCATAAATAAAACTCGACTCGACAAATGAACAGCGAAAATGTTTGTTTGATGCCAAAATGCCACACTCGAAAAACTAGTTTGTGGGGCAGGGGGAGAACTGGGGACCCGAGGGAAAAATCATGACAGTTTTCTGGGCATAAATCACTGCCATGTGGCCTAGGTATCTCCTGCTGTCTCGATAAGGCCGCCACAGAAGATAACACCAATTTGTTGTAGCTAAATCTTTATCAAAGCACTTTTGTGCTGTTTTTTTAATGGAAATTATTTTTTTTCCCAACGCGGCAGGCAGATAAATTAAAACCATGTAAGTGGTTAATTAAACGCGTTTTACCCACACTAGC